CAATCTAAGATGACTCCAAACCACCTCTGCCAGTCTAACCAGACGTCCAATACTTTTTGGTACACACAAGCACCACCTCCTCGTCGCCATCCTTGCCCACGGAATCTTCCTTTCCGGGGCGCTCAATGCGTGCGTCCCAGCGCAGTGCCGGCGCAATGTGCTTGATGCGGCGCAGTGTGGCAAGGTCATCGCGAATGAGCACCACTCCCTCAGGGCGCAGGATGCGGTCCACCTCCAGCAGCACCTGCTCCACTGGGCACGGCCTGGGTCATCATGGTGCGAGGAAAGGGGGGAGAGAGATTGTTTTAGGGTTTTCGAGGTGACTGAACAAGGCGTTCGCAGGTTTCTTGCGGGTGAGAAGAACTCTTGTTGCAGGGCAGGTTGCGGACCACCTAGAGCAGCACCTGCTCCAGGTGGCACGGCCTGGATTTGTGAACAGGGAAACTGTGAATGGAGAGAGATGGACGAGAATTCGTGCCTTCGGCCAACGGCCATCAAGCTGGAAATGCGAAGGAGATGCAAGAAGATGAAAAATACAGCAGGATGACTGAATGAGAGAGTTGAGGTAGCAGGGTAGCAGAGTGAGGAAGCAGGGTGAGTCGGGGCACACCTGCTAGTCCACTGGGAGAAGAGCTCGTTGGCATGCACGAGGTCATAGGTGCGGGGGTACGTAGAGAACGCTTCACACCTGCAGAGCCACCACCACCACACAGAAAGGAAACAGCAACACATTAGGCAACCGCCACATAGATGAGCAAGGCAAGGGCATCAGCACAGCATGTAGACTCAACATACGAAAAACGGCACGGGGTGGATGAAAGCCGAGGGTGCTTTAAAAAACTCAAGCACATACCAGTCCTGGTACGTTCCCAGCAGCCCGCGGTCATAGATAACCCCGAGGGAGTTAGCCGCGCCAAACGACACATGCGCTGGTGCCTCCGAGCCTTCAGCATCCCCGCCAAAGGCGTCCCCTCTGTCCACAGCCACCACATTCATCACCCACACAGGATCATGCCCCAGCGCGGTCGCAAACCCGCCCATGCCCGCGCTCATGTCCATGATGTTTCTGTACTGCCCGCCCTCCTGCCCTAGGTCCGGCAGCAGGGTGCGCTTGTACCAGCGCACGCGCTGCCTCCACTTGTCAGAGTCCGCTGCAAAGTCCTCCACTGTCAGATCCTCCACCACAACCCCGCCCTCACTCTCCCCCTTCAGCCGCCGCCTCTGTACGTCCTCACTGCTTTCCTCCCCGCCTGCCTCGTCACCGCCCTCTGCACTGCCCTCGCTTCTCTCCTCGCTTGTCTCCTCACTGCCTTCCTCAGCTTTGCCCTCACTGCCTTCCTCTTCCTCGCTGCTCTCCTCTTTGATGACAGCACCACCACCGCTCTCCTCTTGTGCCCGCTCTGCCCTCTCCTCATCTGCCTCCTCCTCGCTTGTCTCCTTGCTCTCCTCCTCGCCTCCCTCTTTGCTCTCCTTCTCGCTTCCCCCCGTGCTCTCCTCCTCACCCTCCGTGCTATCCTCCTCACTTCCCCCCTCCTTCTCCTCTTCAACCCCTGCCTTTTCCTCCTCACCCGCCTCCTTGCTCTCCGTATCATCTCCGCTGGCCCCCTCCTCCTCCGCCGCCCCCTCTGCAACCTCCTCCGCACTCTCCTGCGCCTCCTCCTCTGCACGTTCCTCCACATCATCCGCGGTAGAGGCAGCCGCGCTGCTAGCAAGAGCAACGCCAGGCTTGCCTGAGAGCAGACCAAGGGCAATGCGGGGCGGCGTGGCGGTGAGCCGGGCGGGCCACTTGTCCACGCTGCCGCCCGCCACGCCGTTGCTGTCTGCTGCGGGCACAGGAGTCAGACACGTCGCCATGGGCGTGTACCTGGTGCGGGGACAGGAAAGGCGCGACACGGGGGAGGGACGAGCGGAGAGATGAAGTGAGATGAGCAACAGGCGGGAGAAGTGGGGCATGGAAGGGGGGAGGGGGTGGGTTGGGGAAGGAAGAGCGTGGTATGCACCAAGCGCAGGGCATGACAGAAGGACGCAGAAATAAGAGAAGCCACCGGCAGTCAGAAATGAGCTGCACCAACTGATAACGAGCCAGCCGCAAGTACCGCCTATCGCGCTCATGCCCCACCATCTCCACCTCACTATCTCTCAATTCACATCCCATCCTCCTCTTCCTCCTCCTCATCACCATCACCCCGTCACCTGGTAACCACCCCGCTACCACCAACCCCAACCACGCCATCCCCGCCAGGCGCCCTACCACGACAGGTCCGCATCCTGGTCCGCGGGGCACATGGGCGGGCTCGAGTCCCCGCGGCTCTTCTGGCACGCGCCGTCCAAAGGCTTCTGCCATATCGCGAACATGCCCGCCTGCTTGTACTTGCGCCAGCACATCTTCGCCGCCGCCGCCTCCAGCCGGTCCTGCTCCGCCGACAGGTCCTCCTTGGTGCGGTTCCACCCGCGCGCGTAGTGCTGCCAGTCGATGGGCGGACCCGTCAGCACCCAGAACCCGCCGGGGCGCAGCACGCGGTCGATCTCCGCCAGAAGGCGCCCATCTGGGGGGGGCGAGCGGGAGTGGGGATGAATTAGGATCGGTGCAAGCCTGTGATGTAGTCTAGCCTGCCAGGTACACAGCCGGACGAGTAAAAACACGGAACGCTTTGCGGCTTGTTGCTCATGTACACGTCGCGCCTACTAATGTACCCGTTACATGTGCTGACACCCCCCATCGTGCGCACCTTCGTTCCACCACGGGATAAGGCAGCGCGAGCAGTGCGCGAGGTCGAAGGAGCGCGCGGGGTAAGGCAGGCGCTTGCTGGCCAGCACGCCGATCATGGCGGGCAGGCCTCGCTCCAGCGCGAACTGCACCTGCGCCTCGTGCCCATCGCGCGGCGCCAGCGACATGGTCAGCACGCCGCGGCTCAGCAAATACGCGCCGAAGCTCCCCACCTGCGAGAAACACGGCGCATGGTGCGGAAAGAGCGCGCATCGGGGCTCAGCTGGCAGTTGGGCCCATAAAAGCGATCAGGAGTGGATAACACGGTTCTTGCTGACGGTTCTGCTAGCAGTCAGCTCAGGAATGGAACGGGTCGAGCGGGATCGGCGACTAGCGGTTTCTTACCCCGCAACCGGTGTCAAGCGCCGTGCGAATGGAGCCATCCGTGAGCGGAATGAGCTTGCCCAGCTCTTCCAGGTAGTGATCCGCGCCTTTGTGGAACATCGTGCCGCCGCCAGGGAACGAAAACTTCTCCGTCTGCTCGTCGTACCGGATCCAGTTCTGGTCCGCCTTCGCCATCGTCAACTGCTTGTGCGGCACGTTCACGTACCACGCCTCGTCGCGGCTCTGCGGCCAGGGGACCGGGCGCTTGTACCCGACGGGCGGCGGGATGAGGCAGTTCAGCTGCTCGGAGCTCTTCGGGCAGTGTCGTTCGCGATGCGCGAGGTTTGCTTTAATGAATCTCTTCGCGCGGTTGGGATCCTCGCACGGCGAGTAGTCCATGTAGCGCATGGCGCAGGGCTCGTACGGAGTTACGTCCTCTGCCAGTCGCCGTTGCATCTCGCGAAGTAGCCTCCGAAGAGGAGCCTTTCGATGGGGTTGATCGGCTGCATTTCCAGGTGCTGCATCTGATATTTGGAGGAGAAACAAGACAAGCAAGGCTGATAGGATAATCCGCCCTCCCACCATTACTTGGCACGCCATTGCACCTGGCTTCAAAGCTTCTGTCCCTACGATAGAAGGAATTGTGCTGGTATCAAGTATTTGAGGATCTTAGATCGCAGTGGGCTGTGTTTCAAGGTTTCAAACAAGGCCAGAAATTCTCGATGCTAGCAACTCCCGAGGCCAAGAGAGGAATTTGAGAGGCAGAGCGAGCAGTGGCGCGTGCGACCGCAAGGCCAGGACAGGAGAAGCGGCCCTGTGCGAAGTGAACGATTGCTTCCTTCGGTCACGGCGGACATTCACGTCAAAGGCGAATGACCTACACCAGACCGCCCGACATGCGACGCGCGGGTGAGACCGATGTCTGTCCTGCTTCTGGTGAGAGGGAAACATCCTAGAAGGGCTTCACACACCAGACATGACTTGCCTTTCTATGATTGGCTTGCACTCTTGGCCCGATGCGGTGATTGGTGGATCCGAATGGCTTCGCGGTCTTGTCGTCAGATGATGTCGCGCGAAAGCCACATCTGACACCTCGATTTGTACTCGATATGGCTGATGAAGCTACTCGATTTATGATATTCTGGCTCCAAACTTCTACTGACTTGAGTTTTGAGACCTTCAAGTAACGCTCAGCTAACCCAACTTGAACGAATTGCGTTACACAGAACGAACACCCACGAAACCACAGTACACGAGCGCGTGTCCCCCCAGATCGCCGCTTACGGCCTTGATTTGTACGTGACACGGCGCCTCGTGAAAAGGCAGGCCGAATCGGTGTCTCTAAAAGCAAGTGTAGTTCTTGCCACTTTGTGTGGGCTGGCAGGGAGTTTCGACTAAGTGTTTTCCTAATTGGCTACTCACATTGGCATTTTCAGCAAAGGTGCTCTGGCAGCGCAACAGCAAGAAACGACCCGAATCGCGATGGTAGCCGTCGTGGCAAATTGTGAGCTCCCTCCGCTGCCATCCCCTCCCTCCACCACCACAATGGTCTGCCGCTACTCCCTCCCAGCCCAACAACATCGCACAGAAACTACTTGTGCTTGCGCCTCGTTACTTCATGCGTAAGACTCAGTCAAGGCTCAGCATTCCCCGACACGCCAGGGCCTTGCTTACACTCGTCCCATTCCCCTTGGCACATGTAGAGTGGTCCTTCACAAGAATCAGCCCTGGTAACATCCACACTGCAGTCTCCACGGCGTTATGGGCAATCCGCAAATGCAATGAGTGCATGCTTAGGAACTTCCAACATTAGGAGCAGTCTCGAGAAGCGCGCCAAGTAGGCGACGAGGTAGTGAGAATAGAAGCAGCGTTGGATCCGCCTTTTGCAGTGAGGGGTTGAGCGGCAGCCATGGTAGCGAACCTCACGGAGCCCTTGCGGCCGCTCATGCTGCAAGGCTCCATGTTCAAAGGGCTGCGAGGACGCGTCAAGGAGAAGTTCGAGTTCCGCTTTAGGTTCCACGCCACTCGTGTGAGTTCATGCCGACATGGTTCTCGTCAGCTCCCTCACTTTCGCGACGCAGCTTCCACTGGATTAGGTTAAAAAACGTATTATCCAAGTCCTCACGTACTTGCGCTGCAACTGGCAATGATGCCTTTAACTAATGCAGCAGGCATTCCTAGCCTCTACTTCCCCCTGCTTGTCCTGACCGCCCGTTCTTCCCTTCCTTGCTTCCCATGTCGTGCATTTTGCTCCCGCCGCTCATCCCGCCGCGCATCCACCAGATCCCCCTGTCAGGTTACGACCAGCTGTGCGTGTCGGTGATATCGTGCGACTCGGGGCGCACAGAGGCGCAGACGACCAAGTCGGCGGTGCGCAACGGCATATGCCAGTGGCCCGAGACGGTCACGCATGTCGTCAAGATCGCGCGCAACCCCAAGACCAAGGCGTACGAGCCCAAGGCGTACCGCTTCGTCGTCTCCACCGTGAGTGATCCTTTCTTTACCCTTGCCATATCCTCAGGCCGTACCCGCCGTACCCTCCGCATGTGCCTGCGCACTACCTGGTTCGTTACCGTTAAGCTCCATTACTCCTTTCTGCCACGAAAAACTGGCTGAGATCTTTCATAGTTTGCAACAACAATGGGCTTATCGCGTTGTATGGTCTCCCCGTGTCCCTTGCTGCGTTTTTGCACCTCGTCTGCTGTATGTGTGTGCGTGTGCGTTGGAGCGCGGCAGGGCGGCACGTGGGGCACGGTGTTGGGCGAGGCGACGTTGAATCTCGTGGACTTTATCAAGTACCGCCAGCTCGACCAGCGCGCGCTTCCGCTTGCCGCCGGCTCCGTCCTCCACGTACGTGCTCGCGCACCACCCCGCGCTCGCTGCTCCTTCCCCAATCTCCCCCACCTTTCCCCCCCACCCCGCTCCACCGCCCATGCCTTCTCATTTCCCTTGATCGCTTCCGTTCGCTCGCGTCGCCGAACGTAGGTTCCCCTTATTCAATATCCACCTCCCGTCAACGTCACTTGGCACTAAGCTCTCCCGTCGTACCCCTTCACATTCCCATGTGCAGGCTACGTTGCAAAGCTTCCCGCTAGACCCGCGTGAGGAGGAAGAGACGGCAGACGAGCAAACCCCGGCCGGCAGCACGCAGGCGGAGGGGGACGAAGGCGACTATAGCTATGACGATGAGTACTATGGCGAGGACGCGGAACCCGCAGGTGACAGCGCGCGCAAGGCGGAGCCTGCAGTGCCCGCGCCCCAAGGGGAAGGTGCGGAGAAAGAAGCGGGCGCGGAGCAGCCCAGCGCCGCGCAGCAGTGCGCTGTGCAGCCCATTGCCGCGCAGCCGAGCGCCGCGCCACCGGCGGAAGAGCTTGCGGAGGCGGCGGCTGGCGGAAGCAGCAGCAGCGCCGATGCAGGCGCGGTTGACCCCGCGCCAGCGGCGGCAGAAGCGGAACCTTCCGACAGCGCGGTTGAGGCGCAACAGCAGGCGGCGGTGGCGGACAAGGAGGCGGTGTCGTCTTGCGGCGCGACTGAGGGGAGCTGCGCGGAGAGTGCAGAGGGCGCCAGCGTTACCAGCGCCAGCAGCAGCAGCGTGCCCAGCGAGGGAGGCGCCAGCAGCAGTAGCGGCAGCAGCAGCGCCAGTAGCGGCCTGAGTGCCGGCAGCAGCAACAGCAGCAACAGCGGCAGTGGCAGCGGCAGCGGGAGCACGGCGGGCAAGGCAGCGAGCTTCATCTACCGCCTTGCGGTAATTTCCCCCCTCCCTCGCCCTTGTCCTCGCCCATCTTCCTTGTCCCTTCTCCTCGTTGCTCACTGCCAGCAATATCTCGCCGCGTTCCGTTGAATGCTCCCTTCGCTAGTTCTAGGCTATTCTTGCCTCTCCTGCTTTACTTCCTCCTCGCCTCACTACCTCACTACCTCACTCCCTCACCCTCTCTTCATTCTCTCTCCCTCTCCCTCTCTCCCTCTCTTCCTCTCGTCTCCGCGCTCCCTCGCAACGCAGCTCCCCGATCATCGCCCCAAGGCGCGTAGCAAGCCCACCGACACCACCGATACTTCCGCCACGGCGCCTGCTCCAACCGCTCCCGCCCCTGCCAGCAGCAGCAGCAGCGGCGGTGGCAGCGGCGGCGGCGTCGTCGCCACGGCCTCTGCTGCCGGCGCAGCCGCCGCGAAGCTCTTCCGCCGCTCCGCGTCCCTCATGGAGGGGGTTGGCGCGGGGAAGGGTGCGTCCTCCCCCGCCGCGACGGGCGCCATATGCGCTACCGCGGGAGGTGAGAGCAGCACAAAGGCGGCGGAAACCGCCGGCGACCCCGCAAAGGGAGACGCGGGGGACGCCCCAGCTCCTGCTGCCGCTGCCGGCGCTGCTGGCGCGGCCGGGATCGCTAGCCCTGCCATGAGCGCGTCCCCCGCTCTTGCGCCCATGAAATCCCCCCCCTCCGCCCGCACCCGCTCCGGCTTCTTCTCCTTCGATCGATCACCCGCCACCTCCGCAGCCGCCAGGGGCTCCCCTGCCGCCGGCTCTCTCCCTCCGCCCATCGCGCTCCCCGCTGCCGCTTCCCCCGCGCCCGCGAGCACCAAGGGCGCGGAGCCTTCCGCGGGGAAGGCAGAGAGCACACTGGGGGAGGACGAGGAGCTTCCGCCGCTAGTGTCGTTCTCGGGGGAGCTCCGCCGGCCGCCGAACCCCGCGCTGGTGGGGGACCCGTATCACCGCAGCGTGGCGAGCGGACCCATGGAGGTGGGCGGAGGCGGAAGGTTCATTCCGGGCGCGGGGTACCCCGCGCACCCTGCCGCAGGCGGACTTCACGACAGCATCAGCGCGGGGAACCTCGGGGCGGCGCACAAGGACCGATCCCCGGGACTCAAACCCGCGGGAATGCGCGGAGTCGGGCTGAAGCTCTTCCCCCCATCCTCCCCCAATCTCCCTCCGCTTCCCGCCAGCGCCATGTCTCCCACTTCCTGCCTGCTCTCCGCCTCCTCTACTGCGCCGGAACCTTCCGCGGGGCTCCCAGCAACCCTGGGCGGCGCAGCAGAAGGTGGTACGGGGGGGCGCTTCGGCGCGTTCCGGACCCCGCTCCGCAGTCTCAGCGGCGGAGTGGGGAACGACGGCGCGAACCCGCTGCGCCACTCCATGTCGGACGTTCTCATTGAGGCCACCCGCGCGGGCGTGGGCGGACCCGGCGGAAAAGGCGCAACTGCGGCGGGGGGAGCGGGAGCGGGAGGGCTGCACGAAAGCGGAATTAGCGTCAGCGCATCCACCTCCGCGCTTTTCCTCCCCGGAACCGGCATTCGACCCGGCTTTGCTGCGGCGCTCGGCGGCGGGCCTTCTGCGGCCTTGGCTCCGCCGGCTGCGCTGGCGGCGCGGGAGCGCGGAAGGAGCAGCAGCGGCGGCGGGGCCGGAGAGCTGCAGGCGGACCTGGTCGCGGCGGAGGCGGCGATCGAGGGGCTTCAGCGCGACTGCACGGCGCAGCAGCAGACCTCGCGCGCGTTGCTCCGCGAGGTGGAGGCGCTGCGCGCGCAGCTGGCGGAGTCGCTGGTGGCGGACCGTGCGGCGGAGGCGCAGTTGGCGGCGCTGATGAGCGAGCGCGACTCGCTGGCGAAGCAGGTGGCGATCCTGAAGGTGGCGCAGAGCGAGGCGGAGGCGGTGGCGGGAGGCGCGGGGGTCGGCGGAGGCACGTCGGTGCTGATGGTGATGCGCGATCTGGAGTACCACACGGAGCTGAACGCGCAACTCAGATCGGAAGTGGAAATGCTCTCGGTACAGATGGGCGGACATGGGATGGGATGGGACGGTTATGACGGGACCAGCGCAGTTGACTCTTCACTTCCTCTCAACCCTCGTCTAGTTTATTTCTAACATCAACTTCCTGCTCACCTGCGCCCATCGCATGTTAGTTCGTTCCTCCTGCCTACTGACCCCACCACTTCTCCGCTTACATGATAACCTTGTACTCATTCCCCTCCCCCTCCCCTCTTCCCGCCCCCCAGTCCGCCAATGAGGAGCTGGCCAAGGCGCTGCAGCGCGCGGAAGCGGACGCGGACAAGTACCGGCGGGACGCGCAGGACCTGTACGAGCGCGAGCAGGCGCGCGAGCAGGCGGGCAAGCGCGCGCAGCGGCAGACGGACGAGCGCGAGGCGGAGTGGCGCGAGCGCATGCGCAAGCTGGAGGCGGACTGGCGCGAGCGCATGCGCAAGGCGGTCGACGCGCACAACCAGCTCGAGGCGCGCCTCGCGCAGCTGGAGGGCGACTGGCGGGCGGATTCGTTGAGGGGCGGCGGACGGAGCACCGTGGAGGGGCCAGCGGAAACGGGAAGAGGGGCGGGTGGCGGGGAGGAGGGTGGAGAAGCAGCGACGGGCGCGGAAGGGGCTGCGGCGGCTGCAGCTGGCGGATGCGCCGGTGCGGATGGTGGTGATGGCGCTGCTGCCACCGCGACGCGCTCCCCAGGCCTCTCCCCTCCTGCGTCTGCTGCCGCGACTTCCTGCGGCAGTACCACTCCCACTCCTCTCATCACTACTAGCGCATTCTGCGGCCCGCCGTTGCCGCTCCCTCCGGCCGCGGCGGCGGCGGAGTGCGAGTCGAGCCGCGTGGAGCAGCTGCAGCGGAAGCTGGCGGAGGCGGAGAAGGAGGCGCAGGAGCTGACGGCGGAAAGCCTGGAGCTCGCGGCGAGTTTGACGGCCGCGAAGCGCGACGCGGAGGGCAAGGAGGCGCGAATTAAGGAGCTGGAGGGCGCGATGGAGGAAATTATCCGCGCCACGGGGGTGGAACCCGCGGAACCGGCGGAAACGGCGGAACCGGCGGAGTCAGCGGACGTCGCGGAGGCAGGGGGCTTGGGGAGCAATGGCGCTGGCTCTGGTGCTAGTGCTGGTGCGGATGGGGGAAGGAAGCTAGGCGGGGGCGGGCTGGTGGGCAAGTGGAAGGAGCTGCGCGCGAAGAAGCAGCAGCGGGAGCAGGAGAGCATTGCGCGGCTCAATGCGCACGTGGCTGAGCTCAGCGATGAGCTGGACAAGCGCAAGGCCGACGTCATCAACGCGTCTGCTGAGGTGGAGCGGCTGCGCGGATGCCTGGCGGCTGCGGAAGCGTCCGCCGCGAAGGTGGCGGCGGAGGCGGAGGAGGAGGCGGCGGCGCTGCGGGCGGAAGCCGCTAGGATGCAGCGGGAGGCGGAGAGGGCGGCGGAGCAGCGCGCGGAGCTGGAGAGCGAGGTGGCGGCGCGGGGGAGCCAGCTCGCGGCGCTGCAGAGGCGGTGCGAGGCGGCGGATGAGGAGCGGCAGCAGCTGGCGGTGCGCATGGCGGAGGAGGTGAGCATGCGGGAGCGCGCGGAGGAGTCGGCGGCATCGCTAGCGGCGCAGCTGCACCTGCTGGCGGAAGAAGCGGAGGAGGCGGAGGAGGCGGCGGAAGCAGTGGCCGTGGCGACTACAGTCGCCGTCGCGGCAGCGAACCCGGCGGATTCTTCCGGAGCAGCAGCAGCAGGAGGAGCGAGCGCAGCGGGTAAGACGGCGCTGCCCAAGGGGCTAGTAGGCGCGGCGAAGAAGTTCAAAGGGCAGGTAGATGCGGCGGTGCGCGTGGAGGAGCTGGAGCTGCAGCTCGCGTCGCTGCGCGAGCTGCTGCAGGAGGCGACGGCGGCGCAAGTCAAGGCAACGCGCGAGTCGGCCACGGAAGGCGCGCGCAGCAAGGAGGTGGAGCAGCTGCAGGAGGAGGTGGCGGTGTGGCGCGTGCGCGCGGAGGGGCTCGAGCGCGATCTTTGCGTGCTCGAGACGGAGAAGCGCGCTCGCGAGGGGCGGATTTCGGAGCTGGGGCGCGAGGCGGGGGAGGCGCGCATGCGCGCCAAGGCGGCGGAGGAGGAAATGGGGCGGCTGGCGGCGCGCGTGAGCATCGCGACGGCGCGCGCGGCGGCGCAGGAGGTGGAGGTGCGGGAGAGCCGCGAGAGCAAGGCGGCAGCGGCGGGGATGGTGCAGGAGCTCGAGGAGGCGCTGCGCCGCGCGGGCAGCGAGCGGGCGCGCGCGGACGCGGAGCTGGCGGAAGCAGTCGCCGCGAGGGCCGCGCTGGAGCAGCAGATCACGGCGCTGGAGGCGCGCGTAGCGGAGCTGAACGTGGCCGCGGAGGGCCGCGGGCGCAGCGCGGCGGACGCGGCGGCGGTGGTGGCGGAGGCGCAGCGCGACGCGGAGCTGGAGCGCGAGGGCAGGCGCGCGGCGGAGGAGAAGGCGGCGGCCATGGAGGCCCTCCGCGGACGCCTGCAGGAAACAGTGCGGCGCGAGGAGGAGCTGCGGCAGGCAGCCGCGGACCGCGCGGAAATGCTAGAAGGCGAGTTGCGCAGCGTGCGCGAGCGCGCAGCGCGCGAGGCGGGGGAGATGCGCGACATGGAAAGGAAGCTGTTCCAGCGACTGGAGCAGGTCCTAGCGGAGAAGGAAGAAGGCGTGGTGAGAGTGACGCGCCTGGAAGAGGCAGTCAAGAGGGAGCGCGCGGAGAAAGAGGTGGCGACGGAGCAGCTTCAGACGGAGGTGCTGGTGCTGAAGGAGCAGCTGCAGGCGCTGCTGAGCGGGCGCAGCGGGATCGAGCGCACGGCGGCGGCGCTGGCGGAGGAGCAGGCGGCGCGCGTGGCGCTGGAGGGGCGGCTGCGCGCCGCGGAGGCGGGCGCGGCGGCGGCGGAGGCGCGGTGGGAAGCGGAGATGCGGGAGCTGGAGGGAAAAGTGCAGAGCCTGCAGGCGGAGCGCACCCAGTGGCGCGCGCGCGAGGTGGGTCTTGCAGCAGAGCTGGAAGTAGCCCGTGGGGAAGCGGTGCTCCTACAGGAACTCTCCTTCGAGGTGCAGCGGTTGAAGGAGGAGAAGGCGGCGATTGAGAATCTGCTGGGGGAGGCGCGGGGCGTGAATGAGGCGCTGGAGAGGGCGATGCTGGCTGCTGAGAGGGAGAAGCGCGGGCTGGCGAGCCATGCTGCGGTGCTGAGTGAGAAGGCGCGGGAGTGCGACCGCATGCGCCTGCAGCAGCAGGCTGACCTGCTCGTGCAAGGCGTGGCTGCCGCCGCTGCTGCTGCTGGCGCTGCTGCTGATGGGGACGCAGGTGAGGGAGAGGCAGGTGGTGAGGAGGGAACGGGTGCTGCACCTGGGGCGGGAGGAGGTGCGGCGAGTGGTAGGCTGGTGGATAGGAAGCAGGCGGAGCAATTCTTGGAGTCTCTGCACTGCAAGGTGGAGGAGCTGGAGAGGCAGGTGGAGGAGGGTGCAGTGCTGGCCGCACAGCTAGAGGATGCCAGGGCAGAGATCGCTGCAAAGCAGGCGGAACTAGCAGCAAAGCAGGCCGAGGTGGCGGCGAAGCAGGCGGAGGTGGAGGAGAGGGAGCGGCGGATCAAGGACCTGGAGGCATGCATAGCAGAGGTGCAGGTCGAAGCAGAGAGGCAGAAGGCGGAGTGGCGGCTGAAGCAGGAGGCGGCGGAAGAGGTGGTAGCAGCAAAGATGGAAGGGCAGGCAGCAGCAGAGCGGCGCATAGGGGAGATGCGCGTGCAGGTGGTGGAGTTAGAGGCAGAGGTGGAGAGGCTGCAGGTGGAGGCTGCTGCTGCCACGGCTGCTGCCGAGGCGGCTGCGGCAGCGGCAGAAGCGGCAGCTGCGGCACTGCAGCAGCAGCAGAATGGGAATCTTGCGGCGCTGCTGGGTGCTGCTTCCAGTGCTGCGGCTGCTGCTGCCGCGTCTGGCAAGGGTAGCACTGGTGCTGCTGTTGGGAGCAGCAGTAGTGGCAGTGGTTCAGGAGGCAGCCCGAGCTACAGCAGCAGTAGCAACAGCGCCAGCACTGTGCGACGGAAGGTATGAGTCTCTCTCGAAAGCCTCTTTCTCCCTATCCCAACAGCATGTGCCAAAAACCGTGCAGATGCAGGCACTCTGTGCCATAATGAACCACTGCTTGATGAACTCTTGGTGCTGTTCTTTGCTGTGCTGTGCTGTGCTGTGTGTGTGTTGGCAGGCGAGCAAGGAGCCAGCGTCCCCGTCACTGCCTGCGCCTGATCGCACCACTGTGACACGCAAGGTGGTGGTGGTGCGTCGTGTGCAGTCGAACCGCGATTCGGCTGGCTCCACCACCACCACCACCACCTCTTCCTCCTCTTCAGCACCCAGGCTGCCCTCTCCCTCATCCACCCCTGCCTCCTCCCTCCCCTCCACTCCCCGCATTTCCAAGTCTGCCTCGACTTCCTCCGCTCGCCCTGCCAGTCCCCGTGCTGCTAGCCCCAGTAACATCCCCACCCCCAGTGCTGCTTCTGCTGCTCCTGCTAGCACGGCAGCAGGTGACAAGGGGGGTGACAAGGGTGCAGAGGGACCTCCAGCAGCAAGGGGTGGCAGCCCTCGCAGTGGCATTCGCCCTCCCAGTGTTGTGGTCTCAGGCAAGACCAGAGCTGCAGGCACCACCGGCACCAACATGTGAGTGACTAGTGCTTGCTTCTCCGCAGGTGTAGCTGTGATGAATCAGCTGCAACGGTCGTGTTGTTTGTTCTGTGCCAGTGCTGTGCCTCTCACCCAGCGTGAAAATCCCCGTGGTTTTAACATTGCACTGTACTAACTCCCTCTTCACACCCTGAATCTCCTGGTTTTTCCTGCTACAGTCCATCGGTGTCAGCTGCAACCAGTGAGGCCGCAGTGGGAAGTGGAAACACACGCGTCAGTCGAGCCACGGCCAAGGCCCGCTCCCCTGGCAGTCAAAGCCCCTCCGCGTCTCTCAGCTTGGCACTCAACAAGTAGACAAGTAGACATGTCTACATGTCATTGGGGTCTACATGTCTACCGTATTTTCTTTAGGAAATGCGGTACCTACATGTGTTTGGGCGCTTGAACTTTGTATGTTTGGTTGTTTGCTATAAAGTATTTTCTTTTCTGCACCGATTTTAATCTCTGTGCATAGCTCCTAGTGTTCGTTCGCATTGCACCGTACATGATGTAACTGTTGTGCACCTGCTTGCCAGGCACGCCTTGGCGGAAAACAGGTGGCCTGGCTTGCCTGGTGGGTTAAAGCCAGCAGCTAAAATAGTGACCCACCAGGCAAGCCACTTCAAGTCTCTTGGCTCCACTGCTTATTTTCCAGAGTGTGGTGCTGGTGTGGTTGTTGGTGGACAGGGCTTTACCAAATGGTAGTATATGAGCTGTATGATTATCACAGTAGCCTTAGCTTATTTAAAGCCCGAGGCCAGCATAGTAAAATATCAAGTTACCGTATCCCCCCGGATATACCCCCATGGGGGGCAATAATAAAACAGGTTTTTTCATGGGGGTGGGCTTATAATCGAGTAAATTTATAAGCGCCGGCGTTTATAAAATGACATACATATTTTTTTATATCTTTTAACACCAAACTGTAGGTCTCGTGCTTGCCTTTTCAATCGAGTCGAAGTTACATGGGATCGTCTGTGAAATTCTCGCGCGCGCTGGGAGATACACCCAATCTGACTCACATCCAGCTCCTGACAGGTCCTGCTGACTGGACCCGCATCCAGTGCAGGGTCCGAATGTGAAGGGAACCGATTCTGCAACATATCCGCCTGCTAAAGTAAAAATCGTTACAGCTTTTTGAACACATTTCAAATTTTAAAGTTTACGTGCGCTTATAATAAAACAAGTTTTTTCAAGGGGTGCGCTTATAATCGAGGAGGGGATATAAGCGCCATATGCCAATTAGAAGCGCCAGGCGCTTATCCTAGGGTGGCGCTTATATCCGGGGGGAGACGGTATGTGGGTTTGAAATAGTGGTGGCGAAACCTTGAAAACAAGAATTTCGGTGAAGTCAGTGTAGCGAGAAAGGGATGGGTTGACGAGGGGGAAAGGGGTCTCGCCAAACGTGACGCAAAGATCTGCGACTGGAATGAGTGTCGCTAGGATTGTTCTTCAGCCAATCAGGTTCAAGTAGGGGAGAATGTCCTCGCACAATCCAACTACCACCAGCAAGAACGAAACGGAAAGCACCAACCCCCTCAGAAGAAAAACCACGGTCAAACAAGCTAACCACTTCGCGTGTGACATAACCGCAGTAGCTAACAACAACAGAAATATTTAACATAGGTGACGTGCCAGAACATGCACATGCGTGGTCGATGAAAGGAGCGTTGAGAAGAGCGCGAAACAGCGCGATATGGGAGTACTGAGGCGACTCGACACGGCGACTGCGGAAGGCGGAGAGGGAGGGGAGAGGCGGAAAAAAGACTGCGTCGGCGGGGGAAATCGGTTCTGATCGCGCGATGGGAGAACTGTCCACTGGCGCAACTTGCGGCAGACGCAACGCCAGACGGTGGAGGAGAGGAGGAGCAGATACAAGGGGTGGAATGGGGAAAAGGGGGGAGAAAAACGGGGCCTTTGCGCGCGACAGGAGAGATGCTCCGCTTGTGACGTGATATGCGGCAGGCGCATTGGCGCGCTGCCGCTCCTCATCACGCAGGCGTGCGCTGCTCACGGACAGAGCGGAATAAGGCACGGAAGGAGATAACGCGCGGAAGGGTATAATGCACGGAAGGGGATGAGGCACGGAAATTTATGACGCGCGGAAGGGGATGAGGCACGGAAATTGATGACGCGCGGAAGGGGATGAGGGGCGAAAGGGGATGAGGCGCGGAAGGGGATGACGAGGAATAGGATGAGGTGCGGAAGGGGATGAGGTGCGAATTCCCATGATTCCCCTCCTTTCCCCCCTTCCGTCGCCTCATTTCCACCCTTGCTTCCCCTCCTTTCCCCCCCATGCTTCCCCTCCCTTCCCCCCCTAATTCCCCTCATTTCCTCCCCTGTTTCCCCTCCTTTTCTCCATTGCCTCCCCTCCTTTCCCCCTTGCTTCCCCTCCTTTGCCCCCTTGCTTCCCCTCCTTTTCCCCCTTGCTTCCCCTCCTTTCCCTCTCTACTCCCCCTCCTTTCCTCCCTTGCTTCCCCTCCGTTCCCCCCTTGCTTCCCCTTCCCCCCCTGTTTCCCCTCCTTTCCCCTCTTCCTTCCCCTCCTTTCCCCCCCTGTTTCCCCTCCTTTCCCCCCTTCCTTCGCCTTTTTTCCCCCCATGCTTCCCCTCCTCTCCCCCCCTCCTTCCCTTCCTTTGCCCCCTTGCTTCCCCTCCTTTCCCTCCATGCTCCCCCTCCTTTCCCCCCTTGCTTCCCCTCCTTTCCCCCCCTGATCCCCCTCCTTTCCCCCCTTTCTCCCATGCTAACCCCCTGTTCCCTCCCTTCTAGCCTCTTGCTTCTCCCATGCTAACCCCCTGTTCCCTCCCTTCTAGCCCCCTTGCTTCTCCCATGCTAACCCTCTGTTCCCTCCCTGTCAGAGGTCCACTGGTGATCCCCGATTGATCATAGGGAAGGGTTACAGGCATGTTGGCCTGGGGGGTTATGGGCGCACTGACCCGCTACTTAACAAGCCCTTTTATCCCAATGGTCTAGTGGTTGGGATCTGACATGGTATCAGAGCGAAGATCTCGGGTTCGAATCCTGGTGTATGCACTTCGGGCATCCCAGTGTGGGGGGTGTCAGAGGTCCACTGGTGATCCCCGATTGATCCTAGGGAAGGGTTACAGGCACGTCGGCCTGGGGGGTTATGGGCGCACTCACCCGCTACACAAACAAGCTCTTTTATCCCAGTGGTTAGTGGTTGGGATTCTGACACTCCTTTCTAGCCCCTTGCTTCTCCCATGCTAACCCCCTGTTCCCTCCCTTCTAGCCCTTTGCTTCTCCCATGCTAACCCCCTGTTCCCTCCCTTCTAGCCCCTTGCTTCTCCCATGCTAACCCCCTGTTCCCTCCCTTCTAGCCCCTTGCTTCTCCCATGCTAACCCCCTGTTCCCTCCCTTCTAGCCCCCTTGCTTCTCCCATGCTAACCCCCTGTTCCCTCCCTCGTTCAATCTCCTCACTTGCACCCTTCCTCTCTTCCGCACTTCCCCCTTTCCTATGTGTCCTGCCTTTCCTCCCTTGCTTCCCCTCATTTCCTCCCGTGCTTCCCCTCATTTCCTCCCGTGCTTCCCCTCATTTCCTCCCGTGCTTCCCCTCATTTCCTCCCTTGCTTCCCCTCATTTCCTCCCGTGCTTCCCCTCATTTCCTCCCATGCTTCCCCTTATTTCCTCCCGTGCTTCCCCTCATTTCCCTCCCTGCTTCCCCTTATTCCCCTCCCTGCTTCCCCTCATTTCCCCCACTGCTGCCCCTCATTTCCCTCCCTGCTTCTCATCATTTCCCTCCCTGCTTCTCACCATGTCCCTCCCTGCTTCTCATCATGTCCCTCCCTGCTTCTCATCATTTCCTTCCCTGCTCTCCCATATCTCCTATATCTCCCCTGTTCGACCTTTTTCTTGTTCCCCCTCCCAGTCCCTCGTATTGTCCCCCTCTCCCTCGCTGTTGCAGTGACAACACTGAAGATTTTTCTCATACTGCAACTTGCCTCAGCCCATCATCCCATGCCATGCTCGTAGAGAAACCAGTTCCTCTCGTGCTTTTTCAAGGACTTGAGAAAGGTACAATCAAAAGTATTTGGAACATGCCTCTATGTACCCTTCTGATCTGACACTCTTAGTGTCCATGCATCTTGTAAGAATATCTTGCAATGCAGAAACAAAAGTACATAATGTTCCTTTGAGATGGATATCTCCAACAGTAACGGAGTATCTGTTGTTGCATACGGCACACAAGAAACAGGTGGTGGTACGGTGTAAAGCATCGACTAGCTGCGCCTCAGCTTGCTCCTCTGCTTCACCACTGAAATTTAGGAGAGTAGAGTAGGCAGAAAGGATTGTGTGAAAAAACATGGGGGAGGTGGTGTTGCCACTGAACACCCGCAAGGGGATGTCAAACATATGCATATGTTATATTTGTGGGTAGGCTGTAGTGGGGTAGATAATGTGGGGTATAACCCCTTAGGTTCTACTTCTTGTACAATCCTCTCGATAGTCAATCCCATTCCTGCCTAGTTTCTAAGATGGTATCTAGACTAGTAGGTCTTTAGGACCTAAGATTAGGGCCCACCTGTTACCACGTTACCTCACCTACGGCCTTGCCTGCCTGCCTGCCTTGCCTGCTGCCCGCGCGCGTCTCTCTTTTTTTAGCGCGCGCCGCTTAAGCAGCCCGCGCAGCCCGTTTTCAACCCCGCGTGCCGCGTCAGCCGCCCGCGCAGCCTGCTGCCGGCCCGCGCGCCGCTTAAGCCGCCCGCGCGCAGCCCGCTTAGGCCTCGCGCGCCGCGTCCGCCGCCCGCTCCTGCCCCGGCAGCCGCCTTAGGAGTGCGCGTGGCGCGCTGCTGCCCCGCGCGCCGCTGTAGGAGCTCGTGTGCGGCCCAGTGCTGCCCCGCGAGCCGCCTTAGGAGCCCGCACGCGGCCCACTGCTGCCCTGCGCACCGCCCTAGCCACTTGCGCGCCGCCCCTGCAGCTTGTGCGCCACCACTGCAGCCTTGCACGCAGCCTCTCCTGACCTGCACTTTGCTTTGCCGCCTGCGCACTAGTCTTACCTGCGCTGCAAGCATGGCAACTCTCAACGTGCTCGCGTTCGATCCTGACGGTCGTCCAGTAGAGTTCGCCACCTGGCTCGACGACCTGCAACTGCTCCTTCTAACTGATACCAAGGACGGTGTTTCCCTGTTCGATTACGTGTCTGGCACTGCCGTTGCTCATGCTGACACTGAGCCTGCTCTAGACCGCTCCCAGAGGCAGACCCGCGATGCTGCTGCGCGCCTAGCTATTCGCAACCATCTACCGATCACAGAGCGCGCGCAAATAAGCCAACACAAGACTGCCAAGGCACTGTACGGCGCTGTAGTTGCCCGCTACTCTTCCCCGACCACTGCAGCCCTCGGTCGACTTATGCTACCCTACCTGTTCCCTGACCTGTCCTCGTTTACCACTGCTGAGGACCTCATCTCTCACCTACGCGCTAGTGACACTCGCCTTCGTGCCGCCCTTCCAGCCAAGTTCCTCGCAGAGAACCACCCCCCAATGTACTTTACTCTCTACTTCCTCATCACCCGCCTCCCTGACCCTCTTCGCTCAGTCAAGGACCACTTCCTCGCCCTTGACCCCCATTCTCTCACTGTCGACGACCTCGAGAAGCACCTCCTAGCAGCCAAGAAGAACATTCTAGCTGTAGGTGCTGCTCGTGGTACTCCGCGCACTCCCCTCTTTGAGGGGTGCTCCCCCTCCCCCCTTACCCCCTCCTATGCCTCCGCAGCTGCTGCTGTCGACCTCCTTGGTGCTGAGAAGGTCGCAGCTGCTTCCGCTCCGAGTGGGAAGCGAAGCGGCTTCAGGGGAGGCAAGGGTGGCGGGGGTGGCGGACGTGGCGGTGGAGGGGGCGGTGGTGGAGGCGGCGGGGGCGGTGGAGGTAGTGGCGGTGGTCGTGGGGGTGGAGGTAGTGGTGGGGGCGGTGGTGGTGCCGGGAGTAGTGGCAGTGGTGGCGGAGTGGGGAGTGGTGGTGGCGACGGTGGTGGGGGCTTGGGTGAGGCCGGTGGTGGCCAAGGACAGCAGCAGCAGCAGCCGCAGCAACGTCAGCGCCAGACCCCCACTTCCCAGCAGCTTCATGACTTGTATGCCGGGTGTGGGGCGTCTGGGGGTCCTGGTCGCTGCCCCTATATCATTCGCGCGGGTCCCCGTGCTGGTCGCCAGTGCACCGGCTTTCACACTGAGTACCGCTGCTTCGCTCCACTCAGCGACGCCTGGCGCGTCAAGTTTCCTGATGCTAGTGAGTTCCCCAACTGGGCACACCTGCTTAGGCATGATGTACCTATCTTTGATCTTGACTATGATGCTATTCTCGCTTCCATGTATGCATTGACTGTTAGTGCTGAGGGTGACTGCTACTTGTATGTGCCGCCTGACCCCAGTATAGCCCCAGGTATAGCGCCTGCAGCTCTAAGTGCTTGTGAGTCTACTCCCCCTGTGTGAGAGTTGTGAAGAATGAAACGAGAGAATGAATGAACTATGAAAGAGTTGGGTACAAGTACTAACCCTAATTGGGTTGTACCCCTTATGGGCTACCCCACTACAGCCTACACAAATGTACAAGCTATAATGTTCTGACACACCCCCATAGGCAAAGTGGGGGAGAACAAGTGGTCACAAGATCAGTCAAGTAAAGCAAAGCAAGCTCAGGGTAGATCACAAAGTCACCACACAGTCCGAGCACAAGAGTAAGGCCACAAGGCCAGTTCACATGCAAGATCATATATATAAAGGTAAACAAGTAAGTGCAAGTATAGAAAGAGTACAGTACAAACAAGATCAAGAAGTGAGCAAGTGAGGCCAGGTAGGCACAAGACCTAGCAAAGTAAAAAAGCGCTGATGATCACAAGGCGGAAGGGCCTTGGTGAAGATATCAGCAGTGTTGGCCTCAGAGGCCACGTAGGTGAGGCGGAGCTGACCACGCTGCTGCAGCTCATGAGCCAGGAAGTAGCGAAGAGCAATGTGCTTCGTTCTGTGCTCCAGTCTGTGCTCCCGACACAAGGCCAGCATGGCCTTGTTGTCTACGTACAGAACTGGAGGAGAACGAGGCGGCTCTCCTAGGCCAGTCAGCAGGTAGGTGAGGCAGCGTAGCCATGGTCGCTGCAGAGCCTGGTCGTCAGCCCAAGAAGCGCCAGCGTGACCTGTGAGGACCACTCGACGTCGCCCTCCAAGCACTAGCCCCATGCCCGACGTACTGCACGCGTAGCGCAACACCCTCTTCGCTGCAGCCATGTGCTCTGGTCGGTGTCTCCCAGGAGCAACATAGCGTGCCAAGATGCTAAGAGGGTATGCAAGGTCAGGTCGTGTGCAGGTCATCAGGTACATGAGGCAGCCAACAAGCTCTGGGTACGGGCCACTTGACTCTACGGACTCATGCGAAGGCAGAGCTGAGAGCGAGTGGCGAGTAGGCAGAGGAGTGGCCTGAGGCGAGGAGTACGTGAAGCCGAAGCGCTGAAGGACCTGCTGCACCATGTCTGACTGAGTCAGGGTAATGGCGCACCATCACCTTGACTCAGTCACACATGGTGCAGCAGGTCCTTCAGCGCTTCGGCTTCACCTGGTCCTCGGCACAGGCCACTCCTCTGGCTACAGGTCACTCGCTCTCAGCTCCACCTTCAGACAAGTCCGTAGAGCCGAGTGGTCCTTACCCAGAGCTAGTTGGCTGCCTCATGTACCTGATGACCTGCACTCGTCCTGACCTCGCGTACCCTCTTGGCCTTCTGGCTCGCTACGTGGCTCCTGGTCGGCACCGAAAGGTGCACATGGATGCTGCTAAGAGGGTACTGCGCTACTTGTGCAGCACATCGGGCATGGGGCTCGTGCTTGGAGGGCGGAGTCCAATTGTCCTCACTGGGCACTCAGACGCTTCTTGGGTTGACGACCAGGCTACACAGCGGTCGTCACAGGGTTACACTTTCAGCCTTGGCTCCGGTTCTGTTTCTTGGCGTTCTACTCGCTCGTCTTCTGTTCTCAGCTCCAGTTGTGAGGCTGAGATCTACGCCACAGCCATGGCTACTTAGGAGTTACGCTGGCTCACCTACCTGCTGACCGACTTGGGAGAGAGGCATCGTTCTCCTCCAGTTCTGTACGTCAACAACAAGTCCGCCATTGCCTTGTGTGAGGAGCACAGATTGGAGCACAGAACGAAGCACATTACTCTGCGTTACTTCCTAGCTCGAGAGTTACAGCAGCGGGGTCAGCTTCACCTTGCTCACGTGGCCACTCGGGCCAACAATGCTAATATATTCATTCCTCATTTCTTCACATGGTATAGAGCAGGCTCCCTAGTGGGAACGCTTCCTAGGGCCCACCACTGAAAATCGGAAAAAAAAAAAAGAAAAGAAAAAAAAAAAAAATGACTGGAGCGCGAGTCGCTCCTGCCTGAGGCGTGCCTCGTGGGCCGCCCTCTCGTCTCATCTCCTGCCCTTAGCGGCCCGTCGCGCCCTCCTAGAGGCCCCTCTCACGGCCCCTCGCGCCACCCCTAGCGGCCCCGTCGCCACCCTTCGCTGTCAGAATCCCAACCACTAGACCATTGGGATAAAAGGGCTTGTTTCAGTAGCGAGTTAGTGCGCCCATAACCCCCCAGGCGAACGCGCCTGTAACCCTCTCCAGGATCAATCGGGCATCCACAGTGCAGATCTACTGACACCCCCCCACACTGGGAGGTCCAGGACTAAGCACAGCGGCAACGGCCTACATGTGCATACACCGGGAATCGAACCCGAGACCGCTCTGATACCATGTCAGAATCCCAACCACTAGACCATTGGGATAAAAGGGCTTGTTTCAGTAGCGGGTCAGTGCGCCCATAACCCCCGAGGCGAACGCGCCTGTAACCCTCTCCAGGATCAATCGGGCATCCACAGTGCAGATCTACTGACATTCGCGGCCCGTCGCCGCCCCTCGCGGCCCCGTCGCCACCCCTAG